TGTACAGCAGTAGTGGGGAGACGGCAGCGCTGCAATGGGCCTACACGCGAGGGTAATTACCAGAGGAAAGGGGGTAAGTTAAGGTTATAAATAATAACAGCTGATTCACCGCCCCGGGCACGACCCTCCCCAGTTGCCAGCTACTAAATAATGGAATAATTACGATAACATACGACCCACTTCACATGCATGTTAAGTATTGGTCTGAGGGTGAATTCAACTCTGTATTCCAGGGACGGGAGTACTGCTGGTGTGGTGTGGTGAGTGTAAGGCAGGTGGAGGCGGCGGCTAGCTAAGGACACCCTCCACTCCTCCACCACTGCTGGCGGCCCTCAGCCACGCCGGCGAGAATGGTTGACAGATTTTACCATATAGTGAGAGTATAATGTGTTGACGCTCGGTGAGGGAGGGCGTCTCACGGCTCGTCACTGAGGCGTCCTTCCAACTAAAGATATGAATTATCTCAGTAAATTTGACTGAATGTGATTGAGGAGAAATGCAAATGTGAAACGTCATATCTACCCTGAGCTATATAAAGACCCTCTCTCTCTCTCTCTCTCTCTCTCTCTCTCTCTCTCTCTCTCTCTCTCTCTCTCTCTCTCTTGTAGGGCACACAGTCCTCACGACCTTCTATGTCGCTCACGGCAATGTCAACCACTGAGGTGCTGGGGGCTGAAGGGGTAACTGGTATCTTCACTGGGGTTAACCTGACACATGTATACCTGTCTCTCTCATGTGTCCCCCACTATCCCCTATATGTCCCGCCCCCCTTACCCCACTGTCTCCTATGTGTCCCCCCTCCCCTACTGTCTCCTATGTGTCCCCCCCTCCTTCACTGTATCCCCTGTGTACCCCCTCCCCTGTCACACTGCCTCCCATGTGTCACGCCCTACACGCAATGTTGGGCCAGACTGTGATTAATGAACCACATGTCCACACAACACTGTCTTTCTCTCCCGATGAAATGTGTTTATCTTTCACTGCTCTCTATCTTTTTTTTTATCGGTGTACCCCCCTCTCCTCTCTCTCTCTCTCTCTCTCTGTCCCTCTCTCTATTTATCTTCCTCTCTCTACCCTCCCAGACATCCACACCACAAACACCAGAACATTACTCTTTATCCCCTCGAATATCCAACAACCTAGAGATGCCTTTAGACCTGTGAGGAACCAGCCAGCAGAAGGGAGGAACAAGTGAAGGCCTGAGAGGCTTAAGAGAGAGCCAGCCAGCAACCAGGGGAGATGTATGTGTGTGTGTGTGTGTGTGTGTGTGTGTGTGTGTGTGTGTGTGTGCGTGTGTGTGTGCCCCATGCCCACGCCCGAGGCACACTAGCGAATCATTCTCCCTCCTCAACTCTGTGGAATGCCAAGTGGTTAAGTCTCTAGGGTTGAGTTGTCCTACAATGAGAGAGAGAGAGAGAGAGAGAGAGAGAGAGAGTGTTGGTTACGTGAGACCTTATCTTACTAGGTCACAACCCAACCTAATATAATCAAACCCAACTATTTTGATTGGCTCTTTGAAGATTCGAGCCCATTAAGCCTGGATAGCAGTTTAAATGGGGGGCCTCTTGAGACTAGGGCCTATTGGGACTGGGGCCTATTAAGACCAGCCAATGAGGCAACGCTGCACATTTCCACCTTTAAGTGACCATATTAGGGGGAGGGGGTGCCAGGCTCTCTCGGGGTCTTTGAGTGCCATGGGAGCAGAGGTTAATACAAGGCGCGGGCAGCAAAGTGATAGATGCCTTTAAATTTGGCTATACTGGTAAGTGACTCCACGCCCCCTAGATCCCACGCCCTTGAACACACACACACCTGCACTCATCAACCTCTCCTCACCTTGCCTGCAGAAGCCCATAGGCCAGATCAAAACCTGTACATGATCCTCCTGAGGGTACGTCTACGGCAGCAGCCACGTCAGGGTCGAGACGCCCCTGGCATAACCCTGGCAAGTTGCATTACATCACTGTAGTGGCTCCCGGAACTAAGAGATTATTAGTCGATCCATTGTCAGTTGAAGCTGGATTCTTAAAGGTTCGTATGTTGAGTCTTAATTCCTCGTAAGGGAAGGTACAGAGGAGAGAGAGAGAGAGAGAGAGAGAGAGAGAGAGAGAGAGAGAGAGATGCTACAGTGACGACAAAAATTATATATTCTGCGAGTATATCTGATTAGTATGGCCGACCAACAAACCAAGTGGCGGGACACCTCATGTAAAACAGTACTCCTCGCAGATGCCAACTTGTATTAAGAAAAAAATAAAAACAAAAGAATTCATAATTAACAACAAGATACAATCACAGTACATACACACACACAAAGATATTTACATTCATACATATATACATACAATATACCAACAGGATTACAGAAAAGCCAGCCATTTGAATCCCTAGAATGTTTTACAGAGAATATAATAGTGAGTATAGGACCCCAGCTGTCACCTTGCGGTACACCACATTAAAACAAGAAAAAAATGCCAAAATTTCCGAATGTCGGGTTTACTTTGATAATTTGTTTTCATATATTTTGTTTTTTTCTCTTCCTTGTGTGTGTTAAACTAAGGAAAGGTTGATTGATGTTACTTGAGTGATGTTTAAATGTACTGTGAACGATGTTTACTGAGACGTAGAGACGAAAACAAAAATACTGCGAGACGAGAAGATATTAAAGTAGCATAAATGATAAAAGATACGATAAAAAAAAGAGAGAATAAAGGGATCAAGTGATGATTAGACAACCTAGTTTATTTCACCCTAACATAACCTAAGTAGTGTTAAGGTGTTTAATCATCAGGTGAAATGAACTGGGGTGTCTAATCTTCACATGATCCAAAGACAATAAGATCCCTTTCACCACACCTGTCGATGATTTGTGACGAATACTTTAATAACAATAAAACACACGTTAATTAGGTTCCTGCAGTAAAGGTGAATATTGTGTCTCATTAACCACCAATCATTAACTTGACATCATGTAGTGGTAGTGATGTTGGTGATAGGGTTGGAGGCGGTGATAGGGTTGGTGGCGGTGATAGGGGTGATGGTGGTGAGAGGCGAGGAGTCACACAGGAGGACAAGTGAGGGAGGAGGACCTGAGGGAAAAGAGGGTGGGGAGGGGAGTGAGGGGCGCTACGTCACCCCCTACAAAGGCTGTACAATAACCGGTCTCACACAAAGGGCGGCAGCAAGCACCATACAAGACCTGAGGCAGCACCCACACCCTCAGGGGACGGGGTGGGGAGGAGGGGGGGGGGTCACTGCACACAACGACCTCCACGTCACCACCATATCCACTCCTTGGCTCCTTCCTTCTACAGGATACACACCCCAACCTTCAGGTCACAGGGGGTTGGGGAGTCACCAGAAACCCAAATGTCATGAGATTTGGGTCCTGCTTCCTGCTGGTGGCTACTGTAGGAGGCGGTGAAGTAGTAGTACAGCATTATACCAACCACTGTGCCTCCTCCTTCAGTACTGACCTTTCTCTCACCCCCCCCCTCCCCCCTTCACCCCCCGGACCATTCACTCTCTCCTTCCCTCACACGCTTTCTAAACTTTTCTAACCTTTAATCGCTGCTTTCTCCTCTCTTATTTATTATCTCACCCTCGGTTTAAAACTTCCTTTCTCACCCTTCTCTCCCTCTTCCTCCTCCTTATCATTCCCTGGCTTCTTCTCTTCATTTATCTTCCTTCCTAGTTCCCTCTTTCCCTTCCTCCTTGCATTATCTTCCCTGTCGTCTCTTCTCCTCCCTGTCTTTCTATGTCCTCCAATCTTCCCTCCTGATATTACCAACAAATCGATAACAAAAGCAACGCATTTATTATAACTGGGGGAAACAAACAAAATAAAACAAATAAATGACATACTCGTAAGTAGAAAAACAAAAACAAGAAAGTACATCACATTTTAAGAAGTTTTTTTGTTTTTACAATTGTCGATTATGAAATTACAAAGAGGGAAAGTTTTCTTTACAGGGGAACTCACGTCATTTAAAAGCATAGTTAAGAGAGTGCCAGCTGTGTTGCTTCGTGACCTATAGTGCCAATGCGGGGAAAAAACAAAATCGGAAATTCCTAGTACCTGAGTGGTGGCACTTGGTCTGAGAGGGCCAGCCAGTGACTTCCCGGTACAGGTGACGAGAACAAAACATTCCGGGTAAACACGTCCTTCTGGTTTACACGTCATTCATCGCTCGACAGTGTCAGTGACTATTAACACGAGGCCAGTGACTATTAATCAAAGAAAGTGCCTATTGAAGGGGAACATGAGGAGTGAGGGGAACATGAGGAGTGAGGGGAACATGAGTGAGGGGAACATGCGGAGTGAGGGGAACATGATGAGTGAGGGGAACATGAGGAGTGAGGGAAACATGAGGAGTGAGGGAAACATGAGGAGGAGGAGGAAAATGATGAGAGGAAATATGAGGAGGAGGGTGAGGAGGAGGAGGGGACAGGAGGAGTGAGAGGAACATGAGTAGGAGGAGGGAATACAGGAGCATGAGAATGATGAGGAGGGGAACATGAGGGAAATATGAGAGTGAGGGGGAACAAGGAGGAGGAGGGGAGAATAGAGTGAGAGGAACATGAGGGAGTGAGGGAAACATGGAGGGAGTGAGGGGAACATGAGGAGTGGAGGAGGAGGGGAAGAAGAGGAGGAGGGAACATGAGGGGAAATGGAGGGAGGAGGGAAACATGAGGAGGAGGGGAAGGGAGGACATGAGAGGAAAAGAGGAAATATGAGGATGAGGAGTGAGGGGAACATGAGGAGTGAGGGGCTGAGAAAAAGACAGGATTCTGGACTGAGTTTCATTGACACATTGGTGATGGTAATACAAAGTTGAGAACACACACACACACACACACACACACACACACACACACACACACACACACACACACACACACACACACACACACACACACACACACACACACACACACACACACACACACACACTTCAATATAACAGTACCTGGACATCACCTGTAATTACTAGACTTACCTTTGATAATGAAAGTCTCCTTCATCTTATGGGTCAGCATCAAGAGCCTCACCATGAGCCAAGTGGCGCCTCCTCCCTCTTCCTCCTCTGTCTTTCTTCCTATCTTCTTTTCTTCCTCTCTCTCTCTCTCTCTCTCTCTCTCTCTCTCTCTCTCTTTATGTTCAGAATCGCGTTTTATTTCCACCCAAACAGAAACTTTTTTGTTATTGGTTCTAAGTAGAGTTTATATATTAATCCATATGGTAGATACGTGAACTATCTTGACTCTGTGTCATACCTGAAGTACAGACAGACACACACACGTCAAGCATGAGGTTGAGGTGGTCGAGGTTTGTAGTTGTTGAGGTCAGTTGCTGAGGTTTGGTTAGGTTAGTATATGAGGTTTGTATGTTGCAAGATGATGATATATCCTGATGTGCACAAGGTAAACATTAACACAGGCACGGGGGCTCTAGGTGGGGGGGCGGGGGGCGTAACAGTGAACTTCCGCAACACGCCCACAGTTGTTGGTAACTCTTGGCAACAGTGTTAAAACGCCACACCTCACTACACTCACATTACCAAGTCACTTGTTCTCCTGGTGACGTCTGTCTTCACTCACTTGGTTTGTATGTTAAGAGATGTCAAGTTTATAGTGTGTTAGATGCGAGGGAACTCAGGTGGCTAGACCGTCGGGGACATTCTGGCGACAAGAATGGTTATAATTTGTACGTCTTCAAAGATTCATAAGAAATAATGATATGGAAATACACTGGCGATCATTTATACCGATGATATTAACTACTGCACTGGAAAAAGAGTGAGGTGAGGTATCTAGCCCGCCTCGCTGGAGTCCATCATGACGATGGCAACACTCAGTTGAAGTCTTCAACAAGCGGGTTATGTTGCAGTTGTTCCTCGCTGTTGTTAAAAAAGTGTCATAATCACACATTGGCCATGATTCAAGCGGCTCTCTTACTGTTAAACATGGCCACTGGGCCGGCCTGGCCTCACACATACACTCCGTCAGCAGTCAAGCCTTGAGTAACGATAAACACTAGATAAGGATTTCCGGCCATGTGTCTGGCAGGACTGCTGCACCAACTCCTTCACGGGACACCACCAGTATTACCAGCAGAGCCACGACCTGTGCCTGGCAGTGTGGCACGCTTCACTGTGGAGGAGTGCAGTGTTGCACGCCATATAACACCGAGGAGATGAGGTAGCACACTTGCAGGCTGGCCGCTGAGGCAACAGGGGAGGGGGGGGCGATGAGAGAGAGGTGTTCATCCCTTGACACTCGGTCCTACAATGTTACACGGGCCGCTAACCTACCACACCAGCACCCGCTAAACACACTACACCGTGCCCGCAGCCATCCTCAGCTCTCTGTGGCTGTATTGATCATGCAACATGTGCAACACAGGCTAACACACAAACGTACGCACTCACATTCCGACACACGTACACACACACACACACGCCGACCGCCTACTCTCGCGGTAGTATCGTGATCACTTATCAGCGTTTTGTTTGTGATGTAGGAAGGCACTACCACTCTTCCTACCACACACATCTGATACAGCACATTTTACTGCAGCGGTGGGAGGTGAATGGGGGTAGAGAAGGCGGCGTGGGTGAGGTAGAAACATGGTGTTGTGAGCTGTGGTTGTCAAGAGGTCTGGCGATGACCGGCACCCACATAGCGCTGGAGCTGCCAGGCCCCGCCCCCACCCCATCCACGGCCGCCACATTCACTAGCTCCACCTGATGGCTCACGCTCTCCACCTGCTCCACACTCTCCACCTGCTCCACTCGAATTAAACAAAACCTACTGTACAGATGTCTGCTGAACACGTAGTAATACCAAGCTCAAGAGTAAATCGTACGCCAGGTAGACAATACATGGCTAAAATAAAGTTTACTACGTCACACTCTGGTCGCTCCATTCATGCCCAGTTGTAAACAAACACCACCTTTAATGCTGTAGTGAGGAGAGTAAAGGTACACACGCTGTCTGTGAGCCATGCACGCACGCACGCACACACGTAACATGATTATGGTACTAAACATTGCAGCCTCACACACCTGGTCATTATTAAGGTAAATACTGCAGGTAATATTATCAAGTTATGGATCATAAAGCTTCTCATTCACAGCTGACTTAACCACTCCATTGTCATACCTGAGTTATGATTACGACACTCACTGCAGCCTCACACACCTGTCACACACCTGGTCATAATAGAGGAGGAACACTACAGCCTCACATACCTGTACACAGCAGACTCACACACCTGTCACCCACCTGACCAGATATAAAGTCCTTGAACCCACACAGGCAGATATAAAAGTACTTGTGGAGACTAGACCAGAATGTTAACCTGCCTCCTTCATCTTCACTACACTGGTATTTATAACCCCATCGAGAAATACAACAGTATAACATAAAATAAACTGATTGTATTTACCAAGTCAATGGACAGGTACTTATTATACATATATACACACACTTGAGAGTCATATTTTCACGGTGTATACATTCCCTTCATGATACATAGCCGATACATATCTTATAAAAAGTCTGTAATTTTGTGAAATATTCTACGCTGAATTCTAGGATTTTTTTTTATACTATGTCTCGTACTGATGAAAACAATGATGAGACAAAATTTTCTTGGAAAGTTTTATGACACACACACACACACCCACACCCACACCCACACCCACACCCACACACACACACACACACACCAACTAGGCGGTGAAGAAAAGTACAACAATAAGAGGTACTCCATTTAGTAACCTTGGAAGATCTTAAAAAACAGGTCATGGAGAAGAGAATTTGTTGCACCTCACGTTTTCTAACATCTATTCAGGAGTCGTCGTGGGTATGATGGTAATAGCCTGGCATACAACTCGTGGGTATAAGACTGTATCTCTTGTTCGACTCTTCCCCCCAAAAAATGCAATAGTCGTCGAGGGTACGATGGTTAATGCAGGACTCACCAGAATATGAATACAGACACACACACACACACACACACACACACACAGTACCAGGAATGCCTCTGTCTGCATATTGCGTGCCTGGCCAAACGTCCCCGTGCCGCTGTACCGACTCCATAACGCAACCTTACAAGGGTCGGTTAATAACATAAAACACCCAAACAGACCCAAGATCAACACAGACAACACACCCAGGTAATACAAACACGTTCCCTCACCAAGCTAGAGAGACTACACTCGTCACCAGCCATTAGAACCCCGGTAGGAGAGGTACAGTAAAGTGCTGACAATCTAGGCGTCTGGGATCACCAGGTAGAGCGAACTGTAAAGGGTTCAATAGCATTGATTTTAATGCACGCGAGGAACCACATGTTGGAGGAGACGAAATGCTGCACCACCCCAGTCGCTCGTGTGTGTGTGTGTGTGTTTATCTATCGGTTAAATCTTTCATATCGTCTGGTGAGTTTCCCGCAGTCTCTCGTCTCTCCCTACACTAACGAAAACCTTGTGCTGGGTGAGTGTACAGTACACCTGCTCTCATCCAGGTGTCTCAGGTGTGTCTCATCCAGGTGTGTGTCTCATCCAGGTGTCTATCGTGTCTCTCATCCAGGTGTGTGTGTCTCATCCAAGTGTGTCACATCCAGGTGTCACATCCAGGTGTCTCATCCAGGTGTCTCTCATGACCTCGTCCAGGTGTCTCATGACCTCATCCATGTGTCTCTTACCGCAGGTAAATACACTCATGACAAGCAGCGGTGTTAACAATGTACCCACACTTCGCGCGACACCTGTAAATGGAATAGAGGAAGAGAAGAGAGGAAGGGGAGGAAGGGGGAAGAGGAGGAAGAGGAGGAATAGGAGGTAGAAGAGGAGGTGTACAATATGAATCAAAAACTAAAAAAGAAAAAAGACTACCAAAAACACCTTTCGAAATTCGTCTCCTCGGGGCACGCGCTTCGCAAGGCACCTGGAGAACTTTTGTCTCGATAACCGGGAGACATAAGCAGTCCTCGATACTATACTTTTATTTCCTATGTTTTCTTGACTAAGGACTTAAACCTCTTGAGTATGATGATATAACCTCTTGAGTACGATGGCAACCCCTTGAGTACGATGGCAACCACTTAAGTACGATGGCAACCACTTGAGTACGATGGCAACTCCTTGAATACGATGGCAACCCCTTGATTACGATGGCAACCTCTTGAGTACGATGGCAACCCCTTGAGTACGATGGCAACCACTTGAGTACGATGGCAACTCCTTGAATACGGGAGTGGGGGAAACTGCAGTGGGAGCGGGTAAACAAAGTAAAAGATTACAGGGAAATAGTGTTAGGAATGATGACAAAACTAAATTAAACAGGGAGTTTAAAACTAAACGCGGTAAAGGGAGGACTCATAACACGACTAACTTAAATGTCTACTACGCGAACAGTAGAAGTATGAGAAACAAAATGGATGATATTAGGGCCTTGGTATGTACCGAAAAAATCGATATAATAGCATTCACTGAAACATGGATCAACCTAGATTCACGTGAGTTGCCGGTCGAATACCAAATTGCGGGTTACAAATTGTTCCATACCGATAGGCAGACCAGGAAAGGAGGCGGTAGCAATCTATGTTAGGGATAATCTGAAGTGTGAAATAAATAAGGAAATAAAAACTGAGCGGAATACAGAAACAATTTGGATAGAATTAAGCGACGGTAGGGAAAAATTAATCACAGGAGTAATATATAGATCTCCCAATCTTGATAGATCTCCCAATCTTGATAGAGTCAATGAGCAACTTATCTGGGATGAAATGCACAGGGCTTCCATACACAACAAAGTCTGTATAGTAGGCGACTTTAACCTTGGCCAAATAGATTGGACTGACCTTACGGGTAACTCAGAATCAGAGGATTTTCTCGAGACGATCCAGGACTGTTTCATAAGTAAACATATAACGGAACCCACACGGGGTAATAATATACTCGATTTAGTTCTGTCGAACAGAGAAAACCTCATTAGCAATGTCGAGGTAGGGAACGAACTTGCAAACAGCGATCACAAAGAAATTAGATTCCAGTTACATTTTCAGGGCAGACGTAAGGAAAATTCCACTGAAGTACCAGATTTCAGAAGGGCAAACTTTGACAGTTTAAAGAGGCAGCTAAGAGAGGGGGTGTCGCGCTTGGCCATGAACCTGACAGATGACTCCGACCTGATAACGAGATCTGAGATTGCCGAGTTCCACGACAATTTAAATAATGAGTTACTTAATGCACAAAGGCAGAACATACCATACAAAAAACTCAGATCAGACAACAATGCCCCTAAATGGATAAATAATTATTTAAAGAACATCATTGGCCAAAGGAAGGCTATAGGTAGAAGGATAAAGCGTGGCGAAATTTACCTCCAGGATTATTATAAGATATTGGCGAGTAGGGTTAAAACCGAGATAAGGAAAGCCAAGAGGAATAATGAGGTAAGGATAGCAAGGGAGGCGAAGACAAACCCCAAAGGATTCTACCAAATGTATCAAACTAAAACACGAGAAAAGATTGGACCAATACGGTCAGATACCGGCGAGCTCACTGATAACGACGGAGAAATGAGCAATAATTTGAATAAATATTTTTCAACAGTTTTCACCACTGATAATTTAAACATGATACCCGAGGCACCGACTCTATTCAGAGATAATGAAGAAAACAAATTAAGTGAGATAGTAGTGACTAGTACCGATGTTAGTAAGCAAATAGAGAAACTAAAGCCTAATAAGTCACCTGGTCCCGATGAGATATTTGCCAGAGTATTAGGGGAATGTAAGGAAGAGCTTAGTATGCCCTTAGCAAAGTTGTTTAACATGTCTTTAAAAACAGGTGTAGTACCAGAATCCTGGAGGATAGCGAATGTAATACCGATTTTCAAGAAGGGGGATAGATCACTATCCTCTAACTACCGCCCAATCAGTCTAACATCAATAGTAGGCAAATTACTGGAAGCAATCATTTCAAACTCTATACGAAATCACCTGGAGAAGCACAGATTGATCAATGATTCCCAGCATGACTTCACAAGCGGACGTTCTTGTCTAACTAATCTATTAACATTCTTTTCATCAGTTTTCGAATCGGTGGACGAGGGGCACAATTATGATGTGGTATATCTCGACTTTAGCAAAGCCTTCGACAGAGTCCCCCACGAAAGACTAATTAGAAAGGTAGAAGCACATGGCATCAAAGGTAACATCCTTAAATGGATTAGGGCGTGGTTACAGGACAGGAAACAGAGTGAGCATTAACGGCACTATGTCCCATTGGAGCAACGTCACAAGTGGAGTTCCCCAAGGCTCAGTACTTGGACCATTATTATTTATTATATACATAAACGACAT